AATAAGGTATTTTTGTAACATCATAACATGTCTACATTCTGAGGCGCATATGAGCCCGCATTGGTGTCTATTCTTGTCCTCATGTCTGAAGATACATAAATACAATATGAGCTCAGAAGACATTTTTCTATCTGGGTGTATATATATGAATAAAGTAATTATATATATATATATATATATATATATATATATATATATATAATAATTTTTAGGTACGGATATAAGATATTTAAATTTATTTAATGCATATATACATACATACATACATATATATATATATATATATATATATATATATATATATATATATATATGTATATATGCATTAAATAAATTTAAATATCTTATATCCGTACCTAAAAATTATTATGACTTTTCTCCTACATTGTCTTCTTAGTATAAACAGATATAGATTTAGAAATAGATATAAAAAAGATTTTTAACATTTTAAATTTTTATAGTGAAAACCAATGTATTCTAATATATTACAATGTACAAAAGACTTTTGTACAAAACAATTGTTGTCTGAAGAAAAATCCGACCGCTAAAAATTTGTATTTTGGGTTATGAGAATTCAAGATCTCAGAATTGACTGCAACAATTTTTAGTTTCAGATGGTTGCAATTGAAAGTTTATATTAACGTTTTTCTCAGGAATGCCATTAGATTTTGCATCATGCTTTTATTTCCCAAGATATTTTAGTTCAAAGTACGATTGTCGCAAAAACTCTGGAAAAAGCTAGTATTGTTACGATCGTCATATGCCATGAATACAGTCATATTCTTAGACCTGTCATTTTCGGATATTCGTCTTTATGTACTTAGTGCTACTGCGTCTCTTGATATCTCACTACCAGCTGAAATCTACTATTGACAGAAGCTTCAAGAAAATAAGACATTTTAACTAAAGCTGAAAATTATCTTTTATTAGATATCCCAGATAGTCAAACCTACGCGAGCAGATTTTGCGCAGAGTCTGTCAACAGTGTCTGTAGACAGAATGGCAACAGATTGCACGCAGAACCTGCTCTGACGACAGATTGGTGACAGACTGCGCGCAGAACCTGTCGACAGACTCTGACAACAGACTGACGACAGATTGCGCGCAGATTTTGTTTCCTAGATAGACTATTTAATTCTATCAAGGACCATATGTACGCTATTAAATGGGGCAGTTTCACATACACACCATGTAAAACTTCGAGAGAAGTCAAGATAATGTGCAATAACTGTACACATATAATTGTACACATATAACAATAAAAAACAATTTTTACTTTTTAAAATTGTATTACACATTTCTGATAAAAAAGCAACAATAATAGAGAAATAACGAGTATAAGTATAGAATAGTACAACGGTTAAATGGCTATTTAAAGGCGTACATATGCCATCCCTGGTAAAAATTGTTCTCATAATTTTTTATACAATTTCTTATATTATTATTTTTTTTAATATTATTATGTCATTAAATCTGAACGATTTAACCGTCATGCAATAAGTATTGAAGGCACCCTGATAGAAAAATGATGTCATGTTGCGCTTAGCACGCGCTCATATATTGACGTGGATAATTGCAAAAGTGCATACAAATGCGTGCGCATATGCTGTTCATATGTCGTTCATGTAATGATAATCAGAAAAATATCTCATCTAATAACATTATGATAACAAAACTTGATGAACTAGACATATTCGTATATCATTTGTATACATCTTGTGCTCATGTCATGTTAATCACATAATGATGTTTAAAAAGGTATCAAGATGAAATCACAGTATGACATCACATTATGATGAAACGTGATCATCACGCATTTCTATCTGGGCAGCAGCACCGAATAAAATATTAGTCTCGCTATGTAAATAACTTTTGCAGAATTTTTGTGATGGTTTATTTGAAAATTTATCATGCTTCGATTTTAATAAAACTTAATACAATCTGAACTGCACAATTGACCAAATTAATTCGCACATGTAAAAGTACAGTATTTTATTAGCATGATGGAAAAATGTCATTATCTGCTGTTTTATTGCAGTAATTTTCTATACAGTCTTTGGTAGAAAATTAATTTCGAATTATCATGCCGATCTCTCTTACATTATTTATGCGCTAAACGGTTTTGTCTATATTTTGTGGTTTAAAAGGCGAACAAATTCTAAGATTTTGCTTCCATAAACTTTAAGTGAGCATTTTTTATCAAGTGAGGAATTGGCGTAGTGTCTAAGGCGACGGACGATTATCCAAAAAATGTCTTCGGTTCAAGTTCAAATCTCACCAGAGAAAATCTTAAAAATTATGAAAAAATAATATAGAAAAACTTTTTTTTTTCATTGTATTTTACGAGTATTTATGAGTATTTATGAGAAAGCGCTTATTATCTGAGTAATTATGAAAAATTATGAGAAAATTTTCTACCAAAAATTTAATTGAAGAACCTACGAAACGACAGGATCTGCACGCAATCTGCGTCAGAGTCTGTCGGCAGGCTATGCGCGCAATCTGCCGTGTCTGTCGTCAGAGTCTGTTAGCAGACCTTGTCAGTAGTCTGACGGCAGATTGGGGACGCAAATGACTATGGATCTGTCGACAGATCCTGTCGCCAGTCTGACGTCAGTCTGCACGCAGATTGCTTACTGGGTACGTTTACAAAGTCAGTTCTATCACTTGCGCTCACTTGCTCGTATTGCTTAATTAATTCCATAATAACGAATAATAATATTGTGAAATTTGCAAAATAATACACTTTTCTGTTCAATTTGACCTATTTTATCTACACCATACGGTTGT